AATTAATAATTATGACTATGAGATATTATTTTGAAATTTGTTTGATTATGCATACAAATGTGTTATTGTGAATCTTATGCATCTAGTTTGGTTGGAGAAAGGAGATAATTGGAGTACGCAGATACACACACACACACACACACATCCCACATGATATTGGCTTCCATACAGAGCTCTATAGTTGGCCATTAGTATTGTCCCACTAGTTCTTTAAGGGGAGACCCATGGTCCACCAAGTTCTCTATGGTTTGTGGCTGGTCCACATCACTCGTGTGGTGATCTCATAAAAGTATCCAATCAAATGAAAAGAACTTAACCTATAGGTCAAGTCGGTGAAAATAAGAAGATATAAGGATGGATTTGGGTTCACGGGTTACATATAACATAGAATCTTCATTAATATTTATATCTTTTAGACAAATGAAAAGTATGTTATCCCTTGTGATATTATCAACTGCATGAGACTAGCTGAAATATCTGATTTATATGGTCATTATAAGTTTAACTGTCAAATAAATGATATTGTGAGTTTACGGTTAAATAAATGATTATTGATTTATTAACACTGTGTATCCCACCTGACACCTCACTAGCCTATGCTAGTGTGTGTGATAGGTAGGGATTTAGTTATTGAATCCCAATTGTTTAACATTTTCTAGGTGAAAGCTTTAGAGGAAGGACATCAAGGAAGGCTCAAAAGGAGTAAAGCTACATTAGCGACTTGTAGCATCTTCTTGATTTATGAGTTATGTTGTTTTCTGTATATCGCCATCTTAGGACAAACTATGTTTAATTGATTCATGTATTATTATGTTCTTGTATCCTTTGATTTGTATTGTTATGGTATGCATGCTGCTAGTTGGCCAGAGGCCTAGGATTGCATATGATTTGTTTATTATGAATTTATTAAAATATGAATTAAGATTTAATTCTTATTATTTTGATTTATAAGCTATATAATATGTTGTTTTATAATTATATTAGATGAGATTAATCCTTTTTAACATGATTTGCTTTTGAATGAGTTAAGGAAAGTTTTTTTATCTATGATAAGATGTATGATTAGATGCTGTTCTTTTCTATCACAGATGACCTTTTATATAATAGGTTAGCTTATATGATTGTGATAAATTTTAGTTTGCCTGGTTTGATTATAAAAATATTTTAAATTATTTTTTCAAGTTGCTCTAAAAAATTAGATTTATTAGTTTATTTAGAAAGGTTGTTTAAGGTCACCTACTAGATGTCGCCACGTCACTCGCCACCTCGCCTATGCCACATGTCCACACCTCGATGCTCCACATTACCAACTGAATATTATCACCATAAATATGACCCTTTTATGACTTGAACTCCTAATCACCTCCTTCTGTGTCCCTTCTTCTTGCCATTAAGCTGGAATGATTTTGGTAATAAAATAAAACTTGCTTTCCTAATGCAGCATGCTCACAGAGACACTCTGAAAAAGACATTGCAATCATAATATCCAACAACGTGCTAAACATAGTCGCAACAATGAACTGAAAATGGGATCATACTCCCATATAATCAACGCTCAAGATTACAACTCAATTCAAATCGCAATGTTCATTTTAACAGAAGATTACAACGTGCATTCAGTCTCAATATACAAATTAACATTCCTAACATAGGAAGTCATAAGGCGCAAAATAGGAAATGAATTAAACTGAACTAAACTACCCTATTTTGTGTTCTGAAACTCAAGCCAAGCCTCAACCTGGAAGGGTAACGAACTCAACCTCTCATGTTGTCAACCATTGCTTCAACGATCATATTGAATATTTTGATCATATTACACTACGGACTACCATGGAAGTTGAGGCGAAGGGACTGATTGGAGTGGTTAGTGTTCGGCTTCAATGAAATGAAGGATGAGACGGTGACAAAGGGAGGAGGTGGAGGAAGATGGGTTTTTGGGTCGTGAAGATGGAGATGGATTCAAAGATTGTGCTTGTGCCCTAATTGCCAAAATGGTGTGCATTGATTTGGGCATCTTTTGTAATTTGTGAAATCTATAGCAACTTTTTGGCTCCTCAACTGTCTTTCATTTGTTTTTTTTTAGCTTTTCATTTTAATTTACCAACAATAAAATTCAAGATAATGTAATATCATGTATTCTAAATATCAATTAATTAGAGTAAATTATAAAAATAAGACATTTTTTCCCTTTAAGCTTTACTTTAATGCAATCAATTTCTAATTCAAATTAATTACAATATAATTAAGCTCAATTTAATTGATAAAATCTCCCAAATTATTTTTTTTAATTACTCCGATAAAAACTTCTTCTTCTTCTTCTTCTTCTTTTTTGCTGAGTCTAACATCATTTTGTAATAGCACACTAACATAAGAATACATCAATATATCCCTAGTCATTCTGTCGTAGCCCTAGTATTATTCCAAAAATTAATAGGAAAACAAGCCTCTTCTATGAGTAACGGAAGAGAAAAAGATGAACAAAATATCTAATTCTCCCTCTGTAAGCTATTGGAAATGGAAATAAAGTGAACTAAACAAAGAAAGGCAATAACTTTCTTTACAGTCAAGAGGCTTGCCTACGTGATTTAGGATGAGGGAAGGAAAGAGAGAGAAAATAGAGGAGGGAGGAACTAAAAGGAAGAAAGGAAAGAAAATCAAAAAAGAGAAAACATATTCAAATATCAATATTATTCAATTCATAATTTAAAAAATTACAATATAAGCACCAAACAACCTAAATCTAAGTTAAGCTTCAAAGAAAAGAAATTATAAAGATAAGAAACACTGCTAAATAGGAAGTAATCTTATAAATATAAACCTAATCTAAATTATAACTAAAAATGTTAATAAAAATAATAATAAAATTAACAATAAATCTTTCATCATAAAGGGCAGATTTCATAAAATTATTTTTTTTCTAAATGTTTAGATGAGTTGGGATGTGAGACTTGTCAAGGTCAAAGTATACTTCCAGGCTCAAAAAATACTTATAAGTGTACGTACAGATTATCCACAACAAGGTCCTTCTATTATATTATCAGAGGGATTCAATTGTGAATTATGATCCAACATTGTACTAATTGGACCTTTATTCATTGTTAGTATATATTATATTCAATTACTGAGTCAGAAGTGGCTGACAAGTCGGATCCGAACCTCTCAACGGCCATTTTCTCAACGTCCCTTAGAATCTTTAAATCCTGTCCGTTAAGATAATCATATGGCTCATGGTTTGCCACATCATTAGACTATTATAATATGCATCTGAACCATTTATTTCAAATTAATCTCAGGCGTCCATTTTCAGGATCTTCACAGCCTGTTCAGAATGCATCAAATGCGAAGAGAGCGTCGACCTCCGACAAACTGTAGCTAAGAGTCGAGCAAAGCCTCAAATGCAAACACATTCAGATAAAAACTGTTTCTTTTATCCATAAAACATGATAACCTTTGATTTCTTTTCAATAGCCAATGTCAAAAAAAATCTCTATTATAGGAATGGATTTTATCTCCATTATAGGAATGGATTTTAGTTTGAACAGAAAAGAAAACAGAACCGAATGAAACTAGAAGTCCAATCAATGAGCACTAGAGAAATAAATTACTAAAGTAGAACGAAGAGATTGATCATAACAAAAGACGAAGATGAATTTAGGATAAACTTTGCACTAGATCAAGCAGAAAACCAATGACAAACTCCTGTCCAGATGTTGGAAAAATTCTCTCTCTAAAGACACCGAATCTCGTTCACATAATTAGAAAGCATTCAGCCAATTTTTTCAATATGGATAATTTTTTATTTTTCCATCTTCTTAAAAGAAAAAACCCAAAGCCCACTCATAATAACAAAAATGGTTCTGCAGATGATACTTTCGTTTGAGCTTCCCTTTGCTTTGATCCCCCTGTTCAAGTTTAGCAGCAGCGACACCGAGATGGGACCTCACAAGAATTCTATGGAGATTGCCTAACTATAAGCACTCAACAGTCAAAGAATGAGGAAGAGAGGGATAGAGAAGAAGGGCGGAGATAGAGAGGAAGAGGTGTAAGGTAGACTAGGTAATGACGGGGCTTCCCATCTGCGTCGGAAATCCCTGTTTAGGTCACCGAAGGAGTTTGACTTCAACGAGTCGGCCTTGTAATGAATTTGGCAAACAGGACGTGATGGCCCAGACGCGATTACAGAAGCTTCGTGATGTGGCTTTTTGTGAGCTCTTAGATGAATTGGATGGATAGGATTTAAAGATTCTGAGGGATGCTGAGAAAATGGCCGCTGGGAGGATCCGGATCCAGCTGACAACCCTGTATACCAAACCCTCCCCAACCTTATTGTGGTCTCTAGACTGGGGGCCCCTTGACTCTTCAATATTCTGGCCCATATTAGCTTTTTTGTTTCTTGATATTGGGCTTCTTTCGTAGACATCTTCGGCCTATTGATAAAATGGGCTCATCGCATCCAATACTATATAAAAACAAAAACAGGCTTTTGTAGTCTACGTATGGTATTACTTCAAAGAAAAATAGCCGCAAAAATACACTGAACTGAAAAAATAGCCGCAAATCTTATTAAAATGGGCGTAGTACAACTTTTCAGTATTTTTTGTGTTTCATTTTTTTAAAATCACCTAGGGTAGTGCCTAAAGCTCTAAGTGCTACCACTAGTTGACTTTTTAAATTGCTGTGTGGGAAAAAAAAATGAAAGGGGAGAAGAGGAAAGAGGAGAGGAAAACAATAAAGAAAAGATGGGAGCAAGACAGGCAAAATGGAGAGATAGAGAACTCAGTATACTCGTTATTCAAATAATCCAAAGATCTAACACATTAGGGCCATTTATATAACTCTACATACAATTATTTGAAAAAAAATAAATTTAAAATAATCTTTAAAAAAATCATGATGGAAAAAATCTGATGTAAAAGTAGACCTATTACATCAGTCGCCTCATTAACAGACGTAAAAAATCTGGCTTTCAATGTTGCTTTTGTATTATATATGAAGAAAGCAACATCTTGTGAGAAGTACAGGCACAAGTCTCAGCACCAATATCCTCAGAAATGCAAGGAGGCTCCCTTTGCCTATTATTATCTTGGTACCAAACTAACCGATTCTTCAGAAACTCACTCACAAATGAGTCCAACATTTCCAGTGACACATGTTGCATCACGACCACATGTCATATGTTCCCTTTGATAGCCAAGCTCCACTTGTGAGCAAACACATCATCTTGAGGCCTCTCGAACACGACAGCGTTGCTGGACTTGTTTAGCAACGGTCCAATGCCATGGTCTCTCAAGGAATTTTGAAGTTAGATCACTTTCTTGATGCATTCCTGAACTTTTTGTTGAAGGCCCTTCAAATCTTTCTTCTTGAGATCATACCAAATTAAGATGGCGCCATGGCCTCCTCGACTTCCTGAGATGGTGTTGTCTTCTGAAGCGATGTATTCCCACTTGTTCCCTTGAGAGAAAATCAACGTGTTTTAAACAAGTTATAAGAATGCCACAAGGCATTGGACAGCCCAGAAACTCGAGGCCAAAAATAGTAACGCTTACAGTGGGTTTCTTGAAAGAAATATTTGGTGCCTGTACGTTCAATATGTAATGTACTACCATTCCTGGTCCTGAATGCTAGTTGACTAATTTGAGTATATTAAGAAATATCATTAAATTAGTTATTTGTAATAAATAGGTATTATTTTTTTAAAATATCTTTACTAATCAATTGTATTAAATAGAAATATCATCACTACAATGACTACTTTAAAAAAAAAAAAAGATAAATATGAGAGACAAAGTGAATTAAGGTCTTATATTTAGGACCAAAATAAAAGTTAAATAAACTCTTATATTAAGAATAGAGGTAATATATATTAAGTTACTTATCATAAGAGCTATGAGAAGCGTGTTAATTACTTTAAATTTTGTGTTATAATGTTAGTTGGAAATTTGTATTTCATTTCGTGTGTACTTATACTCACTCTAACATCAAAAGGTAGCATCATTCCAAACAGTGCGGCATCACAATGAATGTGGAATCGATATTGTGTGAAACCACAATCCTCAATTGACTGTAGTACAAGATTAAGGTCATCAATGGCTCCCTTTACGGTAGTCCCCACAACGGGACAACACTCATTATATATAGAGAGAAAGAATGAGAGAGAGAGAGAGAGAGAGAGAGTAGGAAAAAGACCTATGTTTAGGTTGATTATGGCTGGTTTGCCCTTATTTGCAAGAAGTGACTTCTTTAGTTCGTTAGTCAATCCCACCTGAGATTATAGTTCCAAGTACTGCACATTTGGCTCCAAGTCTTGCTGCTTTCAACACCGAATAATGCGAGTCCCTTGATGTGTAAATAATTCCATCGGACTATAGTTCCTTCCTGTTTTGCAAAAATATTTTTATCATTTGAATTTATAGAACTGGGGTTAAATATATTTATAACAACCTGAGGATTATAATTTGGAAGAATTGATATGAAGTCCCAAGAAAAGAACATAATTACTAAAAACTCCCAATCATAACATAGCAGCATATAATGACAAGTTTCAATATACTAAATGACAACAGCTCACTTGTCACTAAGACTTTTTGATAATTAATTTTTTTGGGATCTCATAGTAATTCTCCCCTCACTATATTACTCGAAAATCCAGTACATTACCCTAATAAGATCCTGTGGAAATTTTCTTCAGTTCCACCACTCGCAAGCATTATTCTGGAAATTAGTAGGAAAAGTTAGCACAAGAGCCTCTTCTATGAGTAACGGAAGAAGAAGAAAAAAAGGAATGGCGAGAAGAGAGAGAAAATAGAGGGGGGAAAAGAGGAAGCAACAAGCAACTAGACAAATTCAGGAGGGGAGAAAGGGAAGAAACTCAAAAAAGAAAAAAACATACTCATAATATCAATAAGAAACAATACTAAATGGGAAATAATTTTATAAATGTAAACCTAATCTAAATTATCACTAAAATCCTAATACAGATACTCCAACTTTGCTTTTGTTTCTACAATGTGGGCCGCTAACTCTTCAATATGCTGGCCCATATCACCTTATTTCTTCATACTGGGCGTCTTCTTTAGATATACTTGCCCCATTGATAAATTGGGCTCATAACGCCCAGTACTACATAAAAATGCTTCAGATACCAACAATAGTTATCAATGGGAGTTGGATCTAATGAAGAAAGTTAACTCCTTACAAAGTGGCGAATTGGATCATTACTGAGAAATATGCCAACATTTAGTACTCAATAGTGTATCGAATAGGATTATCTCTATTAGGAGAATACATTAATCTACCCTCCCACTAACAAGAGTTGATACAATTAATAAATAGTCGACTCACAATCTACAACATCATAAGTCCAAATACTACTGCTAATGTGTCTTTCTTCTCTCTTTTGATGACATGCCTCTTCATCTTCTTCTCCCTCTATCTTTCATGGCCTCTTTTAATCAAATTGTGCTTGAGTTGTGCTTCTGTCCTCTTTATGATTATCCTCCTCTTATCCCATATGATATAATGTAGATATATTACTTTGTTTTTTTTATTTAATTTGCTTCCTCCTCCTTCAGTGGCCATGGCACCTTCTTCTCTTTATATACTTTATAATATCTCCTGCAAAATAAAAAGGATTTGAATAGATTTTACAGAAAGATTCCTTTTTAATCTTATAATTAACTAAAAAGAGGAAAATATATCAAAGTTAATTAAATAGGCATAAGATGTTCATAAATTTAACAAAATATATTCTAAAATGTAATATATTTAATTATAAAATATTTGCTTATCACTTAACATAATCAAGAAAACTAATTGTGGTTTTCAACTTGTTTGGCAATAGTCTCTTGGGAAACGATATCTTTTTACTACTTGCCACCAGTGCAAAAACGACGAAAGAAAGGAGAGATAACAAAACACAAAAAAAAAAAAAAAAACAAGAAGAAAAAATGGGAGGAAACAAACGAAAATGAAGAGAGAGCAAAGGGAAGGGAATTAAGAGAGAGATAGAGCAATAAAATATGCTCTTTATTCAAATAATTCAAAGATCTAACAAATTAGAGGACCTTAGTGGTTATACAAATAACGTTACATACAATCATTTGAAATTAAAAAAAATAGGACTAGCTTTCAATGTTGATTTTGTATTATCAAGAAATCGTCGTCTTATGAAAAGCACAAGCACAATTCTCAACACCAATATCCTCAGCAACGCAAGGAGGCTTCATTTGCTTATTATTACCTTGGTACCAAGCACAACGATTCTTCACAAACTCACTCACAAACGAATCCAACATTTCCTGCGACACATGTTGCATCACAACCACATGTGATATATTCCCTTTGCTAGACAAGCTCCACTTGCGAGCAAACGCATCATCTTGAGGCCTCTCAAACACCACAGTGTTGCTGAACTTGTTTAGCAATGCTCCAATGCCGTCCTCTCTCAAGGAGTCTCGAAGGTAAATCGCTTTCTTGATGCATTCTTGGACTTCTTGTTGAAGGCCATTGAACACTTTCTTGTTGAGAGCATACCAAATGAAGATGGCAGCATGGCCTCCTCGACTTCCAGAGATGGTATTGTTTTTTGAGGGAATGTATTCTACTTTTTCGCTTGAGCGAAAATCAATGTGTTTTAAACGAGTTATAAAAATGCCACAAGGCATTGGACAGCCCAGGAACTTGTGGCCAGAAATAGTTATGCTTCCAATGGGTTTCTTGAAAGAAATATCTGGTGCCTGTACATTCAAAATGCGATGTTTTGAAACTTTACTTGGAGTATTTAATCTTTGAAAAATCATTAAAAAAATTGAAAATTGAATAATTTTTCGCTCATAAGCCATCAAAATGTTATTTACTTTATGCAGAATCTAATGATAAAAAGAAACTCAAAAAATTTGAGAAGGGCCGCAAAATTAGGAGGCAGCTAACTGTAACAAAAAATACCCCTAGTCCGTGTGTGCGGGTTCGCGGTTGTATATCTTGAACACAGTAATGTTAATCTCCAGTACAACCTAAAGCTGCAATTAAATTATGTTGTTCTATCCCATGCGCTTTAAATTGTGTTATAATATTAGTTGGATGTATATATTTGTATTTCATTTCATATTGTTATGTATATATACTCACGCGAACATCGAAAGGTACCATCATTCCGGATAGTGCGGCATCACAGTGAATGTAGAATCGATCTTGAGTGAAACCACAGTCCTCAAGTGATTGGAGCACAAGATCCAGGTCACCAATGGCTCCCTTTAAGGTAGTCCCTGCAGCAAGACAATACCCATTATATATTGTTATTCATGCGCGCGCGCACACACATATAGAAAGAGAGAGTAGGAGAAAAGACCTGTGTTTTAGGTTGATTATGGCTGGCTTGTCCTTGTTTGCGAGAAGTGACTTTAGTTCGTTATAGTCAATCTCACCTGAGATTAGAGTTCCCACTACCGCACACTTGACTCTAAGAAGTCTTGCTACTTTCATCACTGAATAATGCGAGTCCCATGATGTGTAAATAATTCCTTCGGGATGTAGTTCTCTCCTGTTTTATTGGTAAATAAACAAATAGATCTTTACATATAGAAAGGGGGGGAAAACTCAGTCTTATTTATCTCGATATTTTATCACTTGAATTTATAGAATTGAGGCAAAATAAATCTTTAACAAGTTTAAGATTAGAGTTGGAAAAAAAAGATAATAAAATACCCAAAAAAATGATAAGGACAATTTAGCCGGATGAATTTCAAAAACCCAAACAAGACCCTCTATACTATTTTAGAACTTTAAAACATTGTGAAATGACAACATTGTCTTTACTCTCAACGACTACTTTTGTATAATTATATATTGACCACTCTAGTTTTACTATTAACTACTTTTGTTTTCAAAGTTTTGATGATTACTTTTGCATATCTATTAACTACACAAGAGTAGTAATAACTAAGTAAAAATATTTACTAGATGTCCAACAACGCTTGATGCATTTTTTAAATTTTTGAAACAAAAATAGTTAATAGTAAAGTTATAGTAGTCAATAGCTAAGCAAAAGTAGTTACCAGAATTTTAAAAATAAAAATATTCAATCGAAATACTAAAATAATCAATAGCTAAATAAGAATAGTCATTGGAATTCTAAAAACAAATTTAGTCAATAGCTTTAAAACAGTATTCAAGACATGAGAAAGAGTAGTCACCAGAACTCCAACAACCAGTCACCAAAGTTTTAGTGACATGTCCCCAGAGCTCTGGCAGCTATAACCCTGCTAAAAGTGCTGAAGTGGCAATATTTTTGAAAAAAGAAAAAAAGGAAAAAAAGTGAACGGGGTATGTTTCAGTTCGTGAGATTTAAAAATTTCAAAATAGTGCAGGAGGTTTGATTTATAGTTTTAAAATTCACCCACACTGACTTGTTATTTAGTAATTTTCAGGATATTTTATTGTTTTTATCCCTTAGAATCGTCGCTTTACTTCTCAAAAATCTAGTACGTTACCCAACTAAGAGCCCGTGAAAATTTCCTTCAGTTCCACCAGTCGTAATATATCCCCAGTACTCATTCTTCTCTATTTTCCACAGTTCGGAAAACCAATGAAGTACGCACAGCTCAAATGGGTTTGAGTCAAGTGAATAACCGCTGCCTATAAATGGATCACCAGCGTTGTTCAAGTGTAAACGTAGTAACTTCTCGAGTGCATCGTAGTTGAAGTCTAGATTGGTTGGATAACCTGCGGACATACAATTAAAACTAGAATTAGAAACTCAAACTAGTAATGGTTGATATTTTCTTCTTCTTTGAATAGTTTTGACTTAGATAGATGTCCATTAGAGAGATTTGATAGGGTTTTAATCCGGCGTGAGACCGGCCACGAAACATGGACAAAGCTTAATTATTGTTTTATGGGATGTTGACGTACTTTTCCGCAGACAATATATACCATTTGAATTTTAAATCACTTGATCATATAGAGATTAAAACAAATTAAGAATATTTAAATTAAAGCGAAATAACAAATTACCTAAGAAATGATCTCTTGTGTGAGACATACGGTCGACATAGTCATCAATGACTTTATCCATTTCGGCGTCATCCACTCCGTTGAACTGAGAGATGGTAGGACTGATCATCGAATGTGCATTCTCTAGTGCAGCTTCCTCCATTTTCTTTTCTTCTTGGATTGGCTTGTCGGAGATAAATTTCAATGGCAAAATCTGCTTTCTTTATAAAGGCGTACGTAGTGTGATGTCAACAACGATGGGTCTACCAAACAAACAAAAGACTAGTAGGATGCGTGTCTAAGGCTTTTAGCCACCCAAAAAAAAAAAACTAAAAAAGGAGGCCGAAAGTAGTACTCTCTATAGACCTTATTATAAAAATCAACAAATTAATTCACGGGTACAAATAAACACAATTAAAAGTATTAAATTTGTTATAAAATTCAAGTGATTTTTAATATTCTCCTCATTAATTACGCTGAATTTCAACATTATATTAATTTATATTTCCTCACTACTCGTATTAAATATGGGCACCTACAAATAAATGTTTCATACTCAAATTATCAACGAGTCTTATAAAAAGGATAAAAAAAAATTTTTTTTAAGAAAAGAACTAGAGGGAAGGAATAAGGCTTTAAGGACTGCTGGGTTCGGTTTCGAAATAATACTAAAAGGTGTTTTATAACATGAAATAGTTAATAACAAACCATTTGAAAAGATACAATGTTTTGTCATATTAGGCATGCAGTTTATCAATAATCGAAAATTAAAATCTTCCTAGGCTTGTTTGGATTGGCGGTAGAGTGGCTTATTTTCAATTGAGCTTTTGAAAACTTAAGATTAGGTAAAGGTTAGATTGAGTAATTTAATTGATGTTTAGATTGACTTTGATGTTTAGATTGACTTTTATATATAAGTTTATAACAATAGAATTGTTTGGATTATAATTTGATTGTTAATCTTGCTTGTTTAATGTGATTTGTTGTTTGCTTGGATGGGGAAACTTGTGTTGTGGCATGGATTGGTTGAATAACATTGGTTTATGCTTTGGCCAAATGCATTGAATTATGCCATTGTGAAAGTGTTGATGTTCCTCTTTTAGCATGGCATTAAGCATGATTTTATGTGGTTGATTATGTCTTGCGGTATGATAACATGTCACATGATAACTTGCTTGATTTGCATGATAATTGTAATTCAAATGCTATTGAGATTTTATAGAAATCTCATCCCTCCTATGTTAAATTATGTTTGTATGACATGCCTAAATGTTGGAATATTAAATGGTATAATGTCATAAGAGTGTAGGAAAAAGGAAAATGGGAGATCAATTATAGAAAGTAACATTAGGGGATAGAATCTCCCTAAAAGAGGCTAAACTTGTGGCACATGAAATAATGAGTGATGATGCCTCTGTCGTTAATGCACTCAATTAAACTATGTCCTAATTAATTTGTAGTTCAAAATCGACCTAGGTCATTACTTCCAAGGAGCAATTTATGGGTTTCTTTAGATAAAAATTCAGGTCATAAAAAAATGCAATAAATTGGACCTAAACTAAAATGCAAAATTCTAATTCTAAATGGAAAATGCAAATGTCCTAAAATCTATATGAAAATTAAATTAAACTAAATAAATGCAATGCAATTTTTGGGGGGATTTTTTTTTAAAGGAAACAAAATTAAAATGATAAATGAAGAAAATTAATCAGGAAGCAAAGAAAATTAACAAATAAAAATGGAGAAGTTCTCTTCAAGTAAGGTAGAGGGAACAACTTAGGATTCGCATGGATTTAACTTTCATAATTTTAATTAGTTAATTAGACCAAAGGGAAGTGATAAGAGAGTGGAATTAAGAAACTTAATTACCTACTTGAAACAAAGGGAACCCTCAATTTCAAAAACCCTTAAATTATTAGAGAACTCATAACAGTATAAGGTTGGTTAATTAAGATTATTAAAACCAATGAAAAATAACTCAATTAATTTTGGAAATTATGTTTGAAATTATCCAATTAAACAATTAGACAATTAACCAAATTAATTAAACAATTAAGAGGCAAAAGGACCCAAATTTTGCAATTCAAACCAAATTGATAATTAAACTCATAATGAAAACTCAATTATAAATTCAATTAACAATGCAAAGGTTCTAAACATAAATTCCAACAAGTGTCTCAACACACATAAAATCCAAATATAAATCCAATCCAAGCATAAAGATGACAATCTAGAACTAAATTGTCTCACAAAATTACAACTTAAAATTATTTAAAACTAAATAACCTCAAGTCCTTGAATTAAAAAGATAAATGGAACATTACTCCCTTGTGGTCTTCAAGTGCTAGCCCAAGGTTCGAGTCTCCTCCATGCTCCTCCCAAGTTGCCTCCCTAACAAGCTTAAGCCTCCATGGAAATTATCTTCCCTCCAAAATCATTAGATGCCGCAGCCATGAGGAGTAAAAAAGAGAAGAGGATGATTATGTGGATTGTACGTGGAGTAAGAAAGAAAAGGATGTGAATTGATGATGGTGAGAGCGGATGGATGTTTTTTTTTTTTTTTCCGAATATGGGACGAAATATATATGGCATATGGTGAATATGGGATATTGTTGAAAGGAGAGGATTCACGTTTTCTAATGGTCCGTGCGTCTTTGATATTAGCTATTGGATTGTGCTTAAATCTCAAAAAACAATCTTGCACCATTAGATTTCCTATATACTCTTTCTTGACCTACAAGAATTTAAGTGCATCCATTAATGTAGATTATATCCAAATATAATCAAAAATTAAATATCAGATCTATACAAAAATTAGGCAAGAAATTGCAAAACTTTCTAAAAATAATCTTTCTAAAAATATGAGACTTGTTTCCAAAGAAATAGAAAAAATTAATTCCAAGTCAAAAATAGGAAATCACAAAATATTTATATTTTTAATCCAAAATCTCAATTTTTATACAAAATCCAAAAACCAACCAATTAATCCAATAATGCACAAAAAGTTCATTTAAGCTCAAAATTATCATTTAAATCCTGAATTAATGTGGGATAAAATTTATAAAAATTGGGCTTTATCAATGAGCAATTATTGGAATTTGGACATGAAATTTTACAAGCTTATAAATCTTATCTCTAGCTTTAAATCAAGTAGTAAACCATCAAAATCAGAGTTTTGTGCTAAGGGTTCTGCCCTTCCAAAGTTGGGTAAAAATACTAGAAGTTCGAAGATTGACCAAATAAATAGTGCATCTTGTCGAATTTTCTGGTGTTTCTTTGGATGGAATTGAGTCCAATGAATATTTTTTCTCTATAGAACTCTTAGCAAGCTTTGTGTGAAAATTAGAACCACCTCATTTTAATTTTTCTAGATTTAGTTATGAATTTTCAAAGTTGGCCCATTTTCAGATGAATAGTATACGGACAGGATGAACAGTAAAATCCTGAATTTTAAATTTTTCTCCCAGATGTGTTACCAAACGACTTATATTGGTTCCAATTGATATATAATAGGTTATAAAGAGAGGTGTGACACCTTTTGGTATCAAAGCAAAGGTTCTGGCTCTGTTTATGTGTACTGAGTTTGCTGTTATTTATTGTGCACAATGATTGATTATTGTGAATAGTGTTTGGTAGTTGTACTGTTCCGATTGTAATTGTTGATCATGAAGTGTGATTGTTGGTTGAATGATTCTAGTTAGGATTATACCTGGGGTGATGGGTTTATTATGGATTGAGTTGAGGGCAGGATAAACTATGGCCTGTTGTAGTGATGATTCCGGGGAAACGGCAAACTAAAGGATGCCTGGGGAACTGTACCCAGACTGGTACCATCTACATATTTCTGACCTCTATGACTCGACTCCACCACCTGAATATTACCAGCCTCTTTGAGAGAAAGAGGATATATATTCAGAAGAGGACTCCAATGACCTAGTCAAGTTAGAGAAAGGTGATGCTCAGAGCACCACGAGACCTCAGTCATACCCTGATGAGGCGAGTCCCAATGCCATTAGGGCAGTACCTATCCGAATGGTAAAGCTAGAGCAGATTAAGACTAAGGATCTACCAAACAAGAAGAGACTCTATTAGTAAACAAGGTATTTAAATATCATAATAGTCTCTTCCAGGAATTAATTGAATTCGATAGACACGTAGATCCGACCCAGAATCAGTATGTTATAGTCTACCAGGACTACTTCTACTACTTGAGGTTATTGCATAATGAAGTAGTCGAAGATGGTCAGTTCGTAGATGACACTTTGTGGTGCCAAGTAGATATATTACCTACCACTCGAGTTTAGCAAACTCAGATCCGGCAGCTTTGCAAATCCTCTATGCCTAGTGATTTTGATCAGCTGCTAGATGACTTGGAACTTTTTGTAGTTACTCTGTTTCCCTCTTCCTCTACTGGGTTGTAAATATATGATGACTGTATACTATACCAATTGTGGTGGGCTGTGACCTTTTTGCTGACTGTGCCTGATGTATATATGAACTGAAAAGTAATACAAATATCATTTATGTAAATTAATGATTCTGTTCCTCTTGTAGTTAAGCCAAAAACAACAAAATGGTGAGAATAAGAGGAGGGTTAAGAGGAAGGGGAGAACCGTCAAGACCCCCGGTTGATCTAATAGAAAAGATTATAGAGAGACTAGAGAAACAGCAGAGGACCATGGTTAAGATATAGGCCACTCAGGCTAGGCAAGAACATGAGAGAGATGCTACTATAGCTACAGCAGCAGCAGCAGCACTAGCACAATTACGGCAACCCGGACCAACTTGTCACGCCCCAACTTTGGAGATGACTGGCACAGAATATGAGAGACCTCACACTCCTAAGCCTAAATATATGAATTGTTTAACTAATATATATATTTAGGATAATCATGAATAGAGGCATCTCATTAGACAAAACATTCATATACTTAATCATGTTGTGATTAAAAATATAAAACTATTTGTAGAAATTTTCAATAGAGCCTCCACTGTAATCTAGACTTCTTGAAAATTCTACAATAGCCTGCAAGTTTCAAACAATATTTGGGGCTCTGCTCCCCAGTACCAGTATATATATAACTACATTCCAAAATAACCCAAAAGATGAGGACCTAGTCATAGATTAT